AAAAAAAAAAACTCCCTCCCTGCCCTCTCCCCACCCTCTGGCTCAGTAAGCCTGGTACAGGATGTTGTCTTTAAGCCTCCGGGGTTCTGACATTTCTGGGTCCTGAATATGGCATAGAGTGTGACTTGGGATTCCTACAGTTCAGAGCTTTTATTCAGTTATTCCATCTGCATTATCCCAAATCCAGTTGTCTCTCCAAGCCTGAATCAGCGGTGTGAACTTGTCTCCTTCTATGCCTCCTTTGGGGGGAATAATTTTATCTACTTCTTGGTATTATGAAGATTAAATGGGATAATAGATAAAAATCAGCACAGAGACTGACATATGGTAAATATTCAATAAATGTTAGCTATGAAGAGGAGAAAAAGGAAAAGGACATTTCCTCAACTCCTAATTGATTCATTCTGTAGTTTAACTATTTTAGTGTTATCCACCCTGAATTGGTCCACTGACCCCAATTAACCCTACCCAAGTGGCACTGCAGGAAAGGATAAAGCCAGTAGAGGGCTAGAGCCGGCTCGTACAGGCTTGGGACAGCCAACTGACCACAACTCCTCCCAACTCGGTGTTTAGTGACATCATGTTGGTCGTTTGGAATCAGCCATGGTGGGAATATTTACTCCACAGAATCAGGAAATGCTCAAACTAGTGCCTTCCTTTCCCCTTGCCCAAAGCTGGTTGTCAAACATTTACAAGCCTTTCACTAAAAAGTATTATCAACAATGTGACATCCCTGTCAACAAAAAGGGCTTCCTTCCTTTCTTTTCTTTATTTCTTTTTTAATGCCTAAAAAGTTTTTTAAAAAAACAAACAAAAAAACTTCAGGAAACATCACAGCTCCTGGTATGCCTTCCTCTCTGCCCAGGAAACTGTATCTTCCCGTATTTTGGCCTCCCCACCAACTAAATCACGCCCCAGGCTTTGGAGGGATATCAGGGCAGAAGACGGAGGTCAGGTCAGGAGCAAAAGAAACCAGATTCAGCTGCCAAATCAAAGTCAAAGCCAGAAAAGTATGGCACAGTTCAATCTCCCAGGCTAGAACAGGATAAACTCAAAAACAAAGAAAAAAAAACAAGATAAATCAGCAGCTGAGACGAGATTCTGTTCTCTAACCTCAGGTTCCAAAATGGTGCCTGAGCCCAGCTTCACTGGATGTAGAGAGACACAGACATCACTGTCAGAATCCCGGAACTCAAATGTCAATTCTAAATACCCCATTCAACATGGAGAGCTGGAGAGCCCAAGCTCATTCTGCCACCACCCATACCAAGCCAGAATAGGGTCCTGAGCATGTTGAAACTGACACCCTTCCCTAAGGCCCAGCACAGACCCTGCCATAGGACAACGCCAGCTGTGCCCTCCATAATCAAGTCAGTGAGAACTCAAATGCATCGCACCTGATTCCCCTCAAGGATGGCATCCTCCACTTCAGTTTTGTTGAGGTCCACACAGGAAGCTACAATCGCAAATAAGTAGTCATGTCTCCCATCCAGACGAGCCCGCTTGGCTTCCTTCTCTTCCTTCAATCTTTGCTACAAGAAGGGAAGAAAAAATGTTATGTGGCAACTGCTGTTCTCAAGTGGATTCATTCTGTAATCATTTCATAGTACTGTTGCTTTTTCAAGTCTTGGGTATTCAGATAACAGACAGCTTAATGGTACCAGCTTTTATGTACTATCTTCTGTTTTTAGAAATAATGTTATTTCTAATATGAAAATAAGATGTGCTCATTGTTTTGAAATTACATAACACAGATAAGCCAAAAGTAGAAATAAAAATCATCTGCCAACCAGAGAGTATTACCGTTAACATTTTGTTCCAAATCTTTACAGACTTAATTTTACGCATATATAAGCATTCAACAGCCACACACCAAAATCAAAAAGATCTCCACTTTTGTAAACATTTCCTAGGCTGCTAAAGTAATACTTATTCTTGTACACTATCTCCTATGTTTCTTGTTTGTCTACAGGTTCATATCTGGTTTTGAAATTCATTTCTGAATATCATTGCTTACTTTTTACCTGTCGACTGTTAATTACAATAACAAAGCAAGTTCCCTGTAACCAACATTGGCAGTTTGAAGCATATCTTTCCATATGTGCTCTGTTCATACAAACATATGAAAACATATATACACATTTCTATTTATATATAGTATAAAATTTTTTCATGCATTTTTCCCTTAATAATACATCACAGACTTCTTTTTAGTTTAGTACAGACCATTCCAACTCCTGTAATAGCTGCAAAATATTCAACAATATGGATGTACCATAATCAACCATTTTACCATTGGCGGATATTCAACTTCTAGTTCATTTTTTGAACTAAGTGCATTATCTTCGATGCTAACCAGTAGCTCCTGCTAGGTAGCCCCTCTGGATCCACTCTTGTATTCAACAGTTACTGAACTTCAAATATGTACAAGCACTCTAGAGGTAAACACTCCCCAGTGACCTCAAAGAAACTCATAGCCTGGTTGACAGAAGGTAAGCAGAAAATGTAAATATGAGAGGATGGCATTATGGTTGCTACAGGGGGCATCAGATCTATGCAGGGGCATTAAGGGGTCTTCAGAGAAGGAGCTGAAGGGAGGATTCCCCCTCTAGCCCAGGGCTGAAGAGGGGTGGAGGTACAGGAAAAGTTTCAGGAAGAGGTGGCTTGAGCTCGAGTTGAAGGAGAGTTGGCCACACTCCCTGGGACAGAGGCATTTCTGCACATGCAGAGGCCAAAAGACATAAGAAAGCTTAGCAAGTCTGGAAACCACAAGGCAGCCAGGATGGCTGAACTGAAAATAACTAGAAAGGTATAATAGGAGGGACTTCCCTAGCGGTCCAGTGGTTAAGACTCTATGCTTCCACTGCAGGGGGCACAGGTTCAATCCCTGGTTGGGGAACTAAGATCCCACATGCCGTGCAGCGAGGCCAAAAAAAAAAAAAGAAAAAGGCATAATAGGAAATGAGAAAAAAAGTCAGACCATAAAATATCTTATGGGCCATGTTAGAAAGTATAAATATTATCTGAAGTCCATGGAGAGTCGCTGATGAGTTTCAAATCAGGAAAGATGTTTAGCTGTCTGTGCTGCCTCAAAACATCAGTCATTCTGAAAGCAGTAAAAAAGTGGATTGGCGGGACTTCCCTGGTGGCACAGTGGATAAGAATCTGCCTGCCAATGCAGGGGACACAGGTTCGAGCGCTGGCCCGGGAAGATCCCACATGCCACGGAGCAACTAAGCCCGTGCGCCACAACTACTGAGCCTGCACTCTAGAGCCCGCGAGCCACAACTACTGACCTCACACGCTGCAACTACTGAAGCCCACACGCCTAGAGCCCGTGCTCTGCAACAAGAGAAGCCACAGCAAGGAGAAGCCCACGCACCACAACTAAGAGTAACCCCCGCTCGCCGTGACTAGAGAAAGCCTACGTGCAACAACGAAGACCCAAAGCAGCCAAAAATAAATAAAATTAAATCTTAAAAAAAAAAAAAAAAAGTGGACTGGAGTGATGCAAGCCTGAAGACAGGAAGGCCAGGCAGGTGGATTGTGGCCACATTTCCCAGAGCTTGGGACAGACAGACCACTGGGAATGTGGATCTGGAGCCCAAGGTGAAATTGCATTGCAGAGACAGATACAGATACTGGTTCTCAATACAGTACAATAGACAATAGACAATATGGGCCAGATCTTTCCCGTAATTGTGCTTACAAGATGACTGCAGCACCTTCACAGCTCTTCTGCAATATGGTTGTACCACTAACCTATCAAGAAATGGACTCTATATCCCCTCCTCTTGAATCTGGCTGGCCCTGTGACCAGTTTTCACCAAAAGGATGTGGGAATAAGTGAGACTGTAAAACTTCCTAGGCTAGTCCTTAAGAGACCTTCAGCTTCTGCCTTTGCACTTGGGAATGCTCCCTCAGAACCCAGCCACCAAGCTATGAGAAGTCCAAACCCATGGAGAGACCACACGGAGAAAATGCAAGGCATTCTGGCTGACAGCCCAGAAGATCTCCTAGCTGATACCCCAGCATCAACTTTCAAACTGCCTTGGACATTCCAACCTAGTCAAGCCAACAGATGACTGCAACCCAGCCAAGGCCACATGAAACAGAAGAACCATCCAGCTGAGCCCAGCCACCCACAGGATCAAGAGAGATAATAGATAGTTGTTAAGAGATAATAGATAATTGATAACAGTTAAGCCATTAGCTCTCTTACGGTTTGTTATGCAGCAGTAGGTAACAGTAATCCTTGTTAGAATAATTCCATTGGTTGAACAGAAAACAAACGGATTCAGACTAGAAAAAAGAATGATTGGTAAAAGAGAAATCATTCATGGAATGAATATCTCCACTTTTTTTTTTCTTCTTTTTTTGGCCACGCCACATGGCATGTGGGATCTTAGTTACTGGACTAGGGATCGAACCTGCACCGCCTGCATTGGAAGCGTGGAGTCTTAACCACTGGACCGCTAGGGAAGTCCTATACATGAGATCTATATAATGTTATAAACCAATGTTTCCTCAATAAAAATAAATTTTAAAAAATAATAAAGGTACTGAATATAAACTATTCCTTCCAGAAACTTGACTATAAAGGAAAGAAATGTGGTTACTAGTAGAAAGAGGGGAAGTTAGAGTCAAAGGAGAATTTTTTAAGATACAAAAGACTTAAGAAAAAGTAAAGAGGAAAAAGTTGGGGATTTCCAAGTGATTGAAAGGCAATCACTAGACATGTGCGATTTATGTTCTTTTTTTCCAAAACTGAAGGGAGACAAATTAGTTGGGCTTGGGGGTGGGGATGCAGGGCAAGGTTAAGGTTTAAAAAAAATAAACGATCTACCTACTTTTTGGCCATTTCCCTAAAAAAAGAACACACGGGTCTTGACACAAAGTATACATTCCATAAACATCAAAAAGAAGTAAATTTAAATCTCTTTTCAACCGTGGCTAAAACCAGGTAAATGTCCTGTTCTTTGTTTTCCGCACTCTCGTCAGGGAGGAATAAAGGCTTTTCTCAGAGTGATCTTTCTGGGTTTGTACTAAATGTCTTCAGCAGCTTGAAGACATGGTGGGCAACCAGGGGAGCCAGGAATCCAGCAACAAACTAACAAGATGGCAAATGCTGTGCAGCCAAAAAGACATTAAAAAGCTGTAGAACCAGGGACTTCCTTGGTGGTCCAGTTGTTAAGACTCTGTGCTCCCAGTGCAGGGGCTCCAGGTTCGATCCCTGGTCAGGGAATTAGACCCCGCATGCCGCAACTAAGACCCGGCACAGCCAAATGGATAAATATTAAAAAGAGAAAAACGAGAGGACTAGAAAAGTCAGGATGTAAAAACCAACTGAAGGCTTCCAAAGAATACAGAAACTTCTATAACATCCTGCCATGGCAACACATTATTCTATGACCTGATTTTACAGGGCTCCAAAGGAAAAAACTATCCATGCTAGTGAAGGAGAGGAGAGACTGGCCTCGAAAACAGGACACTAATTATTCTATTTTTACCTAAATATCACAGATGAAAAAAACTTCCAAAGCAATTTTACATATAAAAGCAAATTATCAATGTGTTTTTAAAGAAAGCGTTTTCAAAGCTATATTCAAAAGCACGTTAAGCATTGAATATGTTCTTACATAAACTATTCTATCTCCTGATAAGTAATATGGAGTCAACCCCAGTGCCATGTAGATGAAAGAGCACAATGTTTATCAATGTCAGCTTTCATTGCCTTATACCAAGGTATGCTGGTACAATGAGGGACTTTTATTTTACTACCACAAAAGTCAATAATGTCAAATAGATATTTGGTGATGGGATCAGTGCATTGTCACTCCCTAAACTTAAACTTGCAGCTTTCTGGCTGCCAGGGAACTGCAACAACAAGCAGTCAGATGACTAGCTGGAGGTGGCTTGTCCTGTCGCCTTTGAAACACCTAGGACACTTGGAGAGGGAGGGCAGAGTGGGATGACAAAGGCGAGAGGCGAACCATGGAATTCTTTTTTTTTTTTTAAGGATTACGTTAAAATTGTTTCACGTTGCATGCACAAGCACCAACTGATGGGAGTGGGGAGGGTGGCCAGAAACCTATTCAATGTCCAAGGAAATCTAGAACAGTATTTAACACATTTCTGCAACTTGGTAACAAGGAATGTTACTACCACCTTGGGATAAAACAGGGACTAATGTGCTACCTCCCGAGAAACAAGTGGTGCTTTCAAGATGGGGCAACTTCATGTACACAGATGAACCCTGGTGCCAGAGTGGGGTCCAGACCCAGGGCTGCCACTAATTGTAAGACTTTGCATCTGTCATTTAACCATTCCAGGCTTCAGGTTCTGCAACTCTAAAATCAAAGTGTTGGACTACGCAACAGCTAAGCTCTGTTTCTTCTCTAGCATTCGGGCTGCTCAAAAGTTAATACAGACAAGAGACTTGGGGGGTTTTTTTGGTTTTTTGTTTGTTGGCTTTGGTTCTTGGGATCTTTTGATTGGATCGGGAGGTGTCTGGGGTGAAACTTGAGATTTTAAAATGTGAATCCCAACAAAGACCCAATGCCATGTGCTTTCATAATAAAGCTCTGTGACTTTTTCTCATGACAAACCCATCCTTCCAATTTTTTTTAATATACTAACCTTTGCCTTTAACTCTGTAGAACCAAAGCCCAGGTCTACACGTTCATGTACGTAAACTGTGCATGAACCACACACATTTCATTTTGGCTCCAGGTTATAACCCCCAACTCTAACAGAGACCTTACCCTTGTCTGTAAAATGGGGATAAAAGTCCAAACTTGAAGGTATTTGCAAAGATTAAATTGGGCGTGGTTTGGGGATAATACTAAGGCAATCAGCGCATGAATTAAAACCGCATGACCCAGACTTTGACCCTGGACATCAGAATTCAGGCGACAAAACTTAATCACGATTTTTCAGTTGTACAAATGCTTAAACTCCCTCCACCATTAGAAAGCCCAGTCCTGTTGGCGGCATTGTTTCCGATCCAGGCCCACCCCACTCATGTCTCTGGCAACGAGAAATGGATGGAGGATGGAGCTGTCAGGTCTAAGAAACCCTCTGTTGGCTGAGCAAGGACACCCTTGTCCCCAACCCTCCTGAAGATGTCAGGGTACATTTTGCTCTCTTTGCCCCGGATGCATTGCTAGCTATGGATCAGCAAGTCATCATTTGCTTACTGTGTTTAGGTTTAATCGTCACAAAAGCCCTATGAAGCAGACATGATTATTTCCACACAAGGAAATCAAGACTACAGACCACTAACAACGTTCCCAA